CAGAAGGCTACAGTGAGGAAGAATGAAGTGTAAATTAGGGGAATGAACTCATGCATCCAGGTACCTAATTTTAAAACCACTGTGTGAAAATAAGGATGCCTCCTTGTGGGGTTACAGAGAGCCCTTCTAGCCAGCACTGCTTGCCTGACCCATATCACTCAGTAGTTCTTCTACCTACCAGAAGATTTTAAATCCAATGCAGATTGGGCCACATAACATTTTGTTAGTCTTAACTAGTTTCTAACTAAATATTTGAAGATTTATGGAGTTAAAACCTCCCAATACTGATCTAAAGTCCAGAATTAAAAAAAAAACTTCAGATATCAGATACTCTAAATTATCTTCTTTTGTGTCAATTTCTATTGTCAGAGAATGAGAGCTGACATTTTTCTATGGCATTAGACTGCTTTCTCATGGATTTCCATCAATTCTGTCAGTAGGATTCCTGCACCTATTCTGGTCTGAAAACATGAATAGAAAAAAAAAATCCACACATACATACATTTTGTGTTTGTGATTGTGGTCCCCCAATGATGGTGTTTTACAACCAGGAGAATCGTTTTTTTCCTTCTCGACCAGTTCCTTCCCTTTAGTTTGTTGTACTTGCAGGAATTTGTGTATTTCTAATTTAAAAAATACTTCAATTGACTCATTAAACACATTGCCCTTATCCTGGTTCTCTTATTAATGGATCTAAACACTTTTTATAGCTCACGAATCTATGTATTTCTAATTTTTAAAAAGACCCACACCCCTTTATTAGAATATGGAAACTTTACATTTGAAGCATATTTTTAAAAAATTAATTGGACCTTTTAAGCGAAGTTTTTCATTTTCATAAGTGCAAATAATGGAGCTTTAAACAAATCATAATTTCTATTGAACGCCTAGTTTGACATAATTGATATTGGGTTAATGATCTAACCAGATGATCCTCTGGGTTAGTGCATTCAAATATGGAGTCTGCAGTATAAACTGGTTTGGAGAACACTGCCTCCTCTCAGTGCTGTGCAGGTTACCTAAGGGTCAAGTTAGATTAGTACAAAGTTAAATGTTTGGGCTTTCACCTGAGCTGATTCATATTATGCTTTGGGCCTTTGATCAAGAATAAACATGGTGGATGTTATGGTGCACAGCCAACATAAGCCCCTTCGAGACTGAACCGTTCTTGCCTCCACCTGATCCTGTTTTCCGCACTCCACTGCAGCTCAGGTTCTGAGAGCACTCCTCAAGAAACCTCCTACAAGCCAGTCTCAGTTTATGTTTCCTGAATAACTCAATTTAGGACAACAAATATATATATATATTTTTTTTTAATATGGGCATACAAATAATTTCACCGCGTATTTTGCAAAAGTTACTATTGGAATTTATCATTCAAGTCTTCCCCAAAAATCTAGTTTATAAATTCTTAGATATTATTCTTAAAAATATTTGTCTTTCCTCAGAACTGATATGATATAATTATTTATTAAGAAATGTGTATTAGTTTGAACTATATGGAATAGACATTTTGTAGATCAAAAATGATCAAATATCTTCAATTTCATAAGGTTCTAATAAGTTTTTAAATTTTTTTCTTTGGCTGCCAAGATGCTTGTGGGTAAATTTTGTACTCGACTGCAATATTACATGTTATCTTCAGCCTACATTTTCTGGTGTAAATACTTACACCATTACACCAGAAATACCACATTTACACATCATGTTTGTTTGTAATGTTTTGGAAAATAGGGAGACTATAAGTAAATAAATTATTTTAAATGAAATAAAAAAGATTTCTGTGCCGTAGACAAAACGTTGAACTTAAACCGGTCCATAATTTTAGTTTGCAATAACAGCATGCCAGAGAGATAATGTTGAGACATAATTCAGAGTTCAGAGATATGATTTGTTATTTTCAATAGCAAAATTTTCCTATGTCTGGGTGGTTTTAATCTCTTTGACAGTCCACATATAACAGTCTACAGCTGCTCTAGCCTTCAAGGTGATGACTTAATACATTCTGATCATGGTTTACCTGTTCCTCTGGTGGATTCCCAAACTCTGATCACCATAGTTATTAACACACTGTACTTGAGTCATTCATTCATTGAACACATGTGAACATATATTTTAAATGCCTGCTGGGTTATGTATAGGAAATATGGCAGTCCAGCAGCCAGCAAGAGAAACGCAGTGCTTGCCTTTGAAGATCTCTTGTTTTTCTTTTCTTTCTAAACTGTGAATAGAAGGCAAGTTCTTTGAAGGTACACTCTATGGTCATCTCCCTTCTACCTTCAGTGTACCACTCAGTGAACACACATTTGTCACTCAAAAATATTTCTTAAGTAAGTGAATAAATGAGCAATGACAACTTATACTTTTATTTACTTCATCTCACCAAATACTGAGACTTTTAGTAAAACAAATCCAACCAATGGTTTTATGGTTGTCTTCAGTTCCCAGGCATTAAAAGTATTTTAAAATTGGTTGCACATGGTTTAACTGATGTTTTACACTTAGCTGTCTCATTGATATCAGCCCATAATTGGAAAAGACAGAGGTTTTCTTGGGAGTAGTTTAATTACATTCTATTGAATCTTCCCCTCCACTACTGAGCTTTCAGACTATTATGCTTAGTTTATAGATGTTATATAGATAGGGTCCAAGACAGTCTTCACTTTTGCTTGGTAGACCATCATAATTCCCTATAAATAACCAATAATTTAGGCAGAATTAGAATTTCATATTTTATTGTGACTTTGTACAGAGTGGTCTAATTAGATGACAGTCTTGCTTTGAGAAAAATATTAGTGTGAGTTCCTTTTCATGGATTAATATTTGTGACTGCCAGCCTCTTGTCTTCTTTCACTCTGATCCTTTGCATTTGAGATTTCCTTCCCTCTGTCCCCTGTATAGGACTATCTCCTTCGAATACCACCAGATTTATTATCATTTTCTCTTTAAATTAGTTTTTAGAAACCATTGCCTCTTGTGGCATTTTTAATTCATTGTATACATTACTCAGCTTTTACTTTGTATTCCAGTCATTTCAGTCAGGAGCCAATATTGTGTAGTGTTTAGGAAGCCAGATCCTGTATTCTAGCTCCATCCCTTGCTAGTGGATAACAGCCACTAGCTGCTACAGTGATAGTGATAACAGTCACACCATTTGGCCTCTTAGTCTCAATGGCTTAAATTATATGGTGCGGTGGGGTTACTTTTGATATCTGTCTTTTAAGGTTGTAACAAGGATTAAATGAAATAATGTATGTAAAATGCTTAGCATAGTGCCTGGTATCTGTTGCATATTGTTACTGTTATCATTATCAGTTGTTTTTGCTGTCTTTGATATTAATGTTGCCCAAGTAGACTGTGAATTTTAAGAGCCTTAAGATCACACCTAAAATTTCCCTTGTACTCTTGATGTAACACAAAATGCAATATATACTCTAGCAAAAGCTTTTGGAGTCAATAGATGAAAAGGGAGAAATGAATTTGTTAATGAATGTTGTAAATTCTGATTCAACATACTTTTCTTAGACTAATAAATTATATTCCTTAGCATTCAGTTACATTGTGTGAAAGTAGTTCAGATTTGTGAATCTGAAAATGCTATTTATAATGTATATTTTGTAAATGTACACAGATTAAGAAGGATTAACTTAAAACTGTAGGTTAAGCTAAATAGCTACCCTAAAAAAATTTCCACTGGCATTTTAATGAAATGTTATTTTACAACTTTAAAGCTCATAGCAATATAATTAGTAATATGTGTAATCTTTATTACCAATCTTAATCTTTTTTACATGACTGAAAAATTATTTTATGGTAGTACAATTAAAATAATGCTAAAAATGTCAGCATAACAGAATTAAACTAAAGTAACTACTACAATATTGTACCCCAAACCAGCTAATTTAAATGCAAAATACTTTGTAAAGGCTATTTATCTGGGCTAATGCATGTTAAGGGATTCAAGGAGTAGTTTGTGTTACAGAAATAAAAAGAAAAATAAGCACTGTACAGCAATCTTTACTATTGTTTAACATGAGGGAAATATTAAATAGGTTTATATATAGGCCACTTGAGGAAAATGTATTAGAAGCCACATCACAGCATAGTAAATATAAAGGGGACTGGCAGGCAATACTATTTTCAGAGGCTTTTAAAGGGGAAGCTTGAAATACTTAAAACTGTCCTTATACAAATAATGGTATATCATTAACTATGATAGCTAGACTGAAGACGCCCAGAATTTTAAGTCTGTATTTTGAAAAAGGGATTTCAAAATACTGGAAAATTGCTTAGGTGGCTCATGACACTGTTTAGATTTTTCTCTGAATTTTTCTTTCTTTCAATTCATAATGACTCTAACAAAGTATTGTTATTATTAAGTGAGAAGATGGAAGTGTTTAAAATAAAGATTTTTTAAAAATTAATCTCAGTATAGAAACTTCGGAAAATATAGAAAACTGAAAAAAATATCACCTAGATTTTCACTACCCATAAAGTATCAAACAATATTTAGTATATGTGTTTCTGGTCTCTGCTCTTTAATGGATAATTTTTTTTAATTTTAGTAAAAAATAGTTATGATTATATCCAATGAAATATGTATGTGTAGTATAAAGAAACCCAAGAAATATATATTATATAAAGATCACTAGTAATAGTGAATCAGCTGTGTTTTCCTCTTATTATTTTAGCCATTCTTTCTCAGACCCTCAAAAAGTTTTGCTACTTATATGCTTACTTCAAATTCTTTTCAGTTGCGTGTTACTTGAAGGGCTGTTCTTTAGGACTCTGTTAGCATTTCAAGTATTTTAATAAAGATTAAATTACTTCTTAAAAACTGTAATCCATTAATATCTTATGTAAATTATGACAGAAGCATAGACCATAAATTTGAAAAAACTGCATGTTATAGTGTTTATTGTCATAATCCAGTTGTTGAAAGTGGAATTCATTTACGAGCTGTTGCTACACATTGCAATTGTTTGGTTTCTATTTTGTAGGTCCCAGCACACCTGGAAAGTCCTGCAAGGACTCAGCTACAGAAAGTTCAGAGACAGCAAGTAAAACCCTTCATGACCCTTGACCATCAGATAGTCAATCAGACTCTTAAACGGTCACAGCCTCCGACACCAAGCAGTACATTTCTGGTACAGCATGGACACCCGTCTCCTGAGAGTGATGCTGGCCTCACTGGAAATCCACTCACCAAGTTGCTAACTGTTGGGAAAGAAGATGACAATGTGGAATGGCATGTATGTCATAAATCTCTACATGCATATTTACTTAAACTTTTCAATAATGGATATATAAAGAATTTTCCAAAAAGAAAGAATGCAGAACTAGGTTCTCTATTCACTCTGAAAATCATAAAAATATATGTAGGATGAAAATCATCTGTACTGTAAATATTAGAACTCACCCAATACAATATATCTTACAACAACTTTCTTCCAAAGTTCGTTTCCTTGTACAGAAGGTTGATTTCTAAAGGAAAAAACAAATCCTAAAGGATATGCATAAGCCACTGAATTCTAGGCAAAACCTAGAAAATGATCTTATTTCTTATGAAATATGTTTTCTAAAAAATGAGAAAGAGTAAGTAACATGTATCATTCTTCTCAATTTCTTAGTAAATATTTTTTTTCTTTAGGCACACAGCTTACCTTTTATTTTATAATAAGTTTGTACATTATAAGAGAAACTTACCTGATCTTAGTGGTCCTTTAAGTGGTGTCAGTCAAATGGAGTTGCATGGCTGGGAAAGATTGAAAGCGTAAATAGATGCAGTGGTCTAGGGGCAATTTGCACACTGGCTGCAGACAAAAGTTTTCAATTTTTTTTAACCATTGTTCTTTAAACTGTGTTTTTAAAAGTCTCTTCAATCATTGATGTCTACTTAATCATAATTTTATTCCATATGTTATAGTTTTAATGTGTGTTCTCTTTGAATTTGGCTTATCATGTACACATTTTCACATACTACTATCATTCCCAGTCTTGCTATCTTTAGTAGCTAAGATGTATCCTATATTGTTGCAATTTCCTAATATTTTTTTGATTGTTGCTGGAGTCCTCTTCACAAAGCAGAAAGTGTTCAGTCTTTAGAGTCAGATGGCATAAAGTTAGAATCACCACTTACTTGTGTGATCTCAGTCCTTCACTTCTCTCACCAACATTTCTACAGCTTGAAGAGTTTTTCTGATGCTTACATTTTCTGACTTGGGGGGTGGTGGGGAACTCACTGTGATTCTTTATTTTTATAACATTTTTTGGATGTATGTATATTTGTTTTTTAATTGAAATATAGTCAGTTTACAATGTTGTATCAACTTCTGGTGTGCAGCATCGTTTCCATCACACATGAACATACATATATTCTTTTTCATATTCTTTTTTACCCTAAGTTACTATATAGTTCCCTGTGCTATACAGTATAAACTTGTTGTTTATCTATTTTATACATATTAGTTAGTATCGTCAAATCTCGACTCCCAATTTATCCCTTCCCACCCCATTCCCCCCGGTAACCATAAGTTTGTTTTCAATGTCTGTGAGTCTTTTTCTGTTTTGTAGATGAGTTCATTGGTTTCTTCTTCTTCTTTTTTTTTCTCCTTTTTTTAGATTCTACATATGAGTGATATCATACGGTATTTTTCTTTCTCTTTCTGGCTTACTTCACTTAGGATGATGATCTCCAAGTCCATCCATGTTGCAGTAAATGGGATTATTTATTCTTTTTCATGGCTAAGTAGTATTCCATTGTATAAATATACCACAACTTTTTTATCCAGTCATCTATAGATAGACATTTAGTTTGCTTCCATATATTTGCAATTGTATATAGTGCTGCTATTAACATTGGGGTGCATGTATCTTTTTGAATTAGAATTCCCTTCAGATATGTGCCCAAGATTGGGATTGCTGGATCATATGGTAAGTCTATTTCTAGTTCTTTGAGGATTCTCCATACTGTTTTCTACATTGGCTGCACCAAATTATATTCCCACCAACAGTGTAGGAGGGTTCCCTTTTCTCCACAACCTCTCCTGCATTCATCATTTGTGGATTTTTTTAATGATGGCCGTTCTGACTGGTGTGAGGTTATACCTCACTGTAGTTTTGATTTGCATTTCTATGATAATTAGCGATATTGAGCATCTTTTCTTGTGCCTATTGACCATTTGTATGTCTTCACTGGAGAATTGCTTTTTTAGGTCTTCTACCCATTTTTGGATTGGATTTTTTTTATTATTAAGTTATATGAGCTGTTTCTATATTCTAGAAAATAAACTTTTGTCCCATTCATCCATACTGTGTCTTTTGACTAGAGAATTTAATTCATTTACATTTAAAGTAATCATTGATAAATAAGGATTTACTACAATAAAATATTATTAGTTGTTTTCTGGTTATTTTGTAGATCCATCATTTCTTGTTTCTTGTCCTGCTACCTTTTTTGTGTGTTTTGCTTTTTGGTATCAGCATGCTTTGAGTTCTTTATCAAGCTGTGTTGTTGTTGTTGTTGTTTGCATAATTACTGTAAGATTTTCCCTTGTGGTTGCCATGAGATGTACATAAAATAACATAAATTTATAAACCCTATTTTAAACTGATAATAACTCTAATAGAATTTGTATTCTTTGCACTTTTTCTCCCTCTCTCATTTTAGGTTATTTCTGTTACAACTTATATTTTTTTATATTGGGTTACAAATAATAGATTATGGTTATTTTTGTTGCTTTTTTTAACTTTTTAACCAGAGTTGTGAGTCATGGAACTACCACTATATCTTAGAATTAACTGTGACTATATATATATATATTTTTCATTGTCAGTGAGAGTTATGATACTGTTTTGTGTTTTTATTATGTTAATTAGCATTCTTTTACTTCCATTTAAGGAACTCCCTTTAGCATTTCTTGTAAAACAGGTCTAGTGGTAATGAACTCCTCAACTTTTGTTTGTTCAGGAAAGTCTTTATCCCTCCTTCATTTCTGAAGGACAGATTCACTAGCGGAATTCTTGGTTGACAGTTATTTTCTTTCAATAGTTTAAATATGTCATCCCATTGTCTCCTGACCTGAAAAATTCTGTTAAAAAATCCAGTGATAGTCTTAGGGGTTCTCTTGTATGTTACTTCTCACTTTTCTCTTGCTGCTCTTAACATTCTTTCATTGTCTTTGACTTTTGGCAATTTAACCATACTGTCTCTTAGTGTAGCCCTATTCAGGTTCAAATTATTTGGGGTCTTTTGGGTTTCGTGGATCTGGATGTCCATTTCTTCATTTAGGTTCAGGAAGTTTTCACCCATTATTACTTTAAATGTATTTTGTGTCCTCCCCCTTCTCCTTCTGAAATTCCTATAATGCAAATATTGTTTCTTTTCATTGTGTCCCATAATTTCCATAGGCTTTCTTCATGCTTTTTTCATTCCTTTTTGTTTTTGCTTCTTTGACAGGGTGCTTCCTTATGTCCTAGTGTCTGGGTGGCTGATTTATTCTTGCAAGGTCAAGTCTACTTTTGAAGCTTTCTATTGAATTCTTCAGTACAGTTAGTGTACTTTTCAACTCCAGGATTTCTGCGTTTTTTCAAAAAATTATTGCTATTTCCTTTTCTAACTTCTTGCTTTGTTCATATATTATTTTCTTAATTTTGTTAACTTTGTTTAGGCATCTGTCTGTGTTTTCTTCTAGTTTACTAAACTTCCTTAAGAGGATTATTCTGAAATCTTTGTCTGACTATTCATAGATCTCCATTTCTTTAGGGTCAGTTATTAGAGTTTTATTAGTTTCTTTTGGTGGTATCATATTTATCTGATTTTTTGTGATCTTTAAACACTCATGTTGGTATCAGTGGATTTGAGTAATATGGGCCCCAGACTTTACAGGTTTGCTTTGTTAGAGACAGTTCTTCACCAGTCTTCTCATTTGGGGTTTCTGGGTGTGTCTGCCACCAATGTCCTTAGGCAGGTGGGGCCTGCTATTATGATCTATTTTGGGGTGAGGCAACTGTTCAAACTCTGAGGATAGGGATGCTACCAGCTGAGAAGAGTTGAATATACTATTGGGTTTGTTTCCTACACAAGTGAGGTTGTAGAAGGGGCTCAATAGTTGCCTGAATTCTCTGATCAGGCTTACTAGGTGGTTGGGACTGGATATAGCACATGGAGCTATGAATAAGCTTCTGTGTCCTGGCAGGGAAGCAGACCAGGGCCCAGGGCCTGTGCAGTTTACTGTTTGGAGGCCTGAATAAGGCCTAAGTATGCACTGAATTCCCTGGTCAGATGAGGCCACTTATTTTGCTCTGCAGTTGGGGGAGATCATGGGCTGTGCTCTCTGTTCAAGTGCTGCTGTATGCAGGGCTGTTAAATAGGCTATGCAGCTTCCCATATGCTCTGATTAGTTTCCCTAGTTAGATGGGCTCAAGTCTGTATTCCATGATGAGCAAGGCTGTGAATCAGATTCCCTACCCAGACACAGTGGGAAAAGCTGCTCTAAAACCAGTAAAGCACTTTGTTGTTTTAACTCAAGTTGATTCAAACCCAGGTTCCTTGGCTGAAAGGGCTACTGGGTTTGCTCTGCAAACTATCATTTCTGTCTGCCCTTTGCTCAGCTTGAGTGCTACTGGGTTGCACAGCTTTCAGGTATTTTTGCCAGCCCTTGTGATCAGATGGGGCGAGAAGACACTCTCTACAGTGGGTGGGGTTGTGTCTCAGCCCCCTGTGCATGGGAAGGAGGGGAATGGGCCCCTCCAGGTTATTCTCAGTTTTCCAAACAGTTTCTCTGGTTGAGAGGAGCCAGGAGCTACCCTCAGCCTTGCTATGGATTAATCTTCCTGTCTGTCCACAGCATGGGAAGACCCCTTGCCTGGTACTACTTTCCTCTGAGGGCAATATGCTCTGCCTGCCTCCCTATCTTTTGGCTTGAGCACCACTGGGCTGCACAGTTTCCAGCAGTCGTCACTAGCTCTTCTAGTCAGATGGGGCTGGAAGGTTCTTTTCCTGGCAAGTGGGGCTATGACTCAGCACCTCATCTGAGTATGGGCTGGGCCCCAGGCTGGTAAAACTTCTTTGAGGATCTAAATCTGGCAGATCTGTGCTCCTTCCCCCAAGCTCACCTGGTCAGAGTGTGCCTCTGATTCGGTTCCGCAGACAAGCGAAGTTACTGGTTGGGATTACAACTTGGGCACTGCAGATATGAATGCAGTCTGCCAAGATCTGTGTGCTGGTTGTTGCAAGTCCCTCCCTGCTTGT